TTTGCAGCCCGAGGGCAGCACCAGGTCTGGGGGCTCCGCCAAAGCAAATGAAGAGCACAGCGCTGCTGAGTAGAGCCAGTCCTGGGGCCGCCACTGGTCCCTCCTCACCCCGTCACCAGTTTCTTGGTCCGCGCGTGGCACGCTGTTGCCGCTGGTGCTGCTTGCCCCAGTGGGGAGAGGAGAGCACAGAGCCAAAACGCCGCCCTCAGGCTGCAAACAGGATGGTTGAGCTTCCTGACCTCTGCTGGCACTAGGCATGCACAAGGTACGTACACATATGCAGGCAAAATATGTAGACACATAGAGTAAATAAATCTAAAAAAGTTAAAGGGCAAAGCTATAGACTTAAGTAAGTTAAAAATGATTCATAAAACATAGTAACTAGATATCCCAGAAAACCTGCTCCACGTCTCGGTATGCTCCTGACACCCTCCCTCTCTGAGAATGTTTTGGGCAAACCCTCCTCTGTGTCTCTCTGTATTGCATAATGCACACTGACTTGGTCCAGCTTTACTGATGGCGGATAGGTCCTATTCTGGGAGCCAGGGACACTCACTCAAAATGGCTTCTTCTTTCGAGCTACCTGGAGAAGACTACAAACAGAGCAGCTTGTTCCTTCACCTTTCCTCTTCATTAATAGTTAATAACATTAACATTTACCTCTGCTATTGAAATCCTTAAAGCAAGCTTTTCAACTGAGAAAAGGTACTCTGAATCTACAGCCAATTTTTGAAGGGTTTATTATTTTGGGCTGCCATGTGGGTTCTGGGAACCAAACCTGGGTCCTCTGCAAGATCAACAGGTGCTCTTAACCAGTGAGCCATCTCTCCAGCCCCCTGCCCTATCTTTATTTATGATCTTATTGTATAATATAAACAATTTTATATGGGGGCTGGTGAGATAGTAGACTGGATAAAGGGATTGCTGCTCAGGCCTGATAGCCTTAGTGTGATCCCTGGAACCCACATAAAGGTGGAAGGAGAGAACTGTTTCTATAAAGTTATCTTGTGATCTCTACACATATGCTGATGCACATAGACACCCACACACAGACATTATATATACATTATGATGATAATAATAAATTTATATAAAATTTTTAAAATATTTTTATCAAATATATTCATATATTTAGAACATTTTATATTTTCCATTACCTACTGATTTCTTTTCAGGCTTTTTATTTCTTGTGTGTCTGTGTATAGGTGTGTGGGTGCACATGTCCATGCATCAATACTGAACATCTCTCTCAGTTGCTTGCCACCTTTTTGTTTTGTTTTGAGACAGGGCCTCACTGTGTAGCTCCAGCTGACCTGGAACTTACTGTATGGACCAGGCTGGCCTAGAATTCATTGAGATCTGCCTGCCTCTGCTTCCAGAATGCTGGGATTAAAGGCGTGCATGACTGTGCCAGCTCCAGCTTATTTTTTGAGATATGGTCTCTTGATGAACCAACAGTTCACCACTTTAGCTAGACTGAGTAGCCACTGACCTTCCAGGAACAGGAAGCCTCGTGTTCTCACCTCCCAAGTGAGGCACTGGAATTCTAAACACAAGCCTGGCCTTTTTATGTGAGAGCCATGGAGGCGAATTCAGGTCCTCATGCTTGGACACAATCACTTCTCCCACTGACCTGTCTCACCAACCTCATTTCTTATCTAGTTTACATCTTCAAACACTTTTTAAAGAAATCCCCAAGCCTTTCGATGGTAGCACAAGCCTTTAATCCCAGCACTTGGGAGGCAGAGGCAGGCCTAGTCTACAGAGAGAGTTGCAGGACAGCCAGGGCTACACAGAGAAACCCTGTCTTGAAAAAAAAAAAAAGCAAAAAAAGTGTCTAATTTAAAAAAATCATTTTTATAATAAGCAACACTATCATTTAATATTCTACATATTAAATATTTATTTTACATTGATCATGTGTATGTGTGCACATGTGAGTGTGCACATGTGAGTGTGCACATGTGCATGTGGAGCTGTACAAGCATTGGATTCCCTGGAGCTGGAGTTACAAGAGATTATGAGCTATCTGTTGTGAGTGCTCAAGCTCACGGCAAGAGCTGGATGTGCTCCGGCCACAAAGCCACCTCTCATATATATTTGAGACAGGGTCTATCTATGTCACCTTGGCCTTAAGCTTCTTATCTTCTTGCCTTCACCTCTCAAGTGCCAGGAAGACAGGGAGGTGTGTCAGCATGCACTGGATTCATGCAGCGCTGTTGATTTAACAGTTTTTGTCTGCTAGGCAAACACTATTGACTGAGCTATATACATCCCAAGTCCCATATTTTGTATTTTATAGTTTTTAAAGATTGTATATAGAAATTATCAAGTGAATTTTAAAACTCTAGCAGCCATAGCTTATATTTAAGACCCAAGAGGAGTGCCAGGCATAGTGGCACAGGTGTTTAATCCCAACACTTGAGAGGCAGGGGTAAGCAGGTCTCTTTCAGTTCCAGGCCAGCTTGGTCTACATCATAACAAGTATCAGGCCAGCTAGGGCTACACAGAGAGAGTCTACCAAAGGAGGAGGAGAAGGAAAGGGAAGAGGAGGAGGAGAGGGAGGAGAAGGAGGAGGAGAAGAAGTTGCTGTTGTGAATTGTCTGCTATAAATCTAGTTTATAATTGGCTGTATTTGTTGATAGCCTCAAATATATATTATTCCTTTTTATAGCATATAAGAAGCTACACTAAACATTTTGTTACCACTCTAGGATGATGGCTGTATTGAGCTATTGTAGCCTCAGAACAAAGATGCTATTGTTGGGTAGAGTAGGAACAAGGCCATTGTTATTTCTGAGCAGGAACTGCATGTCATCAGAAATTGACCATCACAGACTAGCCCAATCTTTCTTAGGGCACCAAGACATTGCCATAGAAAATTCCATACTTTATAGCAGACCCATACCATGACTCACAACTTTCTGCATAGCCAATTCCAATAAGAAACAACTCACTATGTAATTCATTCCTTAGCAAAATACTGAGATGCCAACCTAATCATTTAACACGAGCCCTACACAGATGTCTACTTGATTAGACCACCGAATCATTAATGTAGCCCCATGTGAGTGTCCCATCTGATCAAACCTTGCAATTTTTCTTGTAACTACTACAGAAAGAGTTTTTATCCCTCCAAATATTGTGATTCCCTTCAATTTATGCTTGGAAAGTAATGAACATTGTAATTTAAACATCTAACAGACAAATATAGACCTGACTAGCCATCAGCCCAGGCAGAACGCATGTTATTCTTTGACAATTTCTTACATATAGATAACGTATTTTGATCATATTCTTCCCTTCTCATATGCCCTCCTAATCCTTCTGAAGCATTCCTTTTCTCCATCTTGCTTTCATGTTTTTGTTTTTGTTTTAAACCCATGGAGTTTAATCAGGCTTGCCTGCATGAACATAAATGTGGAATTATTTACTCAATCATGGGCAACTTACCAGTGAGTGCATTCCTGGAAAAAAAAAAGTGACCCCACTCTCAGCACAATTTACTGCCAATATTTCCTCAGCTAGGTGTAGCATGATCTTAAAAGTTCTTATTAATAAAGTCACACCCGAGGCCAGGTATTGGGGTGAACACTGGAAAATCAGAGGGCCAGAACAAGCCACAGCTACCTCACCTCGCCAGATCCTCAGCTGGTCCTGTTTCCTCAGACTGGAGGCCTCTGAGTCCTCATATCCGAATGGCTCTCAGCTGAATTGTTGCTCAAAAGCCTGAATGCTTAACCAGGCCAAATGCTTAACCAGCCAAATGCTTCTAGTTTCTGGTCCTCACGCCTTATATACCTTTCTGCTTTCTACCACCACTCCCTGGGATTAAAGGCTCGCTTTCTGAAATTAAAGGCGAGTGTCACCATGCCTGGCCATTTCCAATGTGGCCTTGAACTCACAGAAATACAGAGGGATTTCTAACTCTGGAGTGCTAGGATTACAGGTGTGAGTGCCACCATTTTCTAGCCTCTGTATCTAGTGGCTGTCTGTTCTTCGACCCCAGATAAATTTATTAGGGTGCACAATATTTTGGGGAACACAATACCACCACAGCTAGGGGTGGGACCTCATGAGCCCTCTATGCATGCTGAAATGGTGACAGGCTTCATCTTGTGTAGGCAAATCATAGCTGCTGTGAGTTTGTTAGTTAGAAGAACAGCACTTCTTCTCAAGCATGAGAACAAGAACATCACGAGAACAAGAAGGGAAAGTACATGAGATGTAGATGAACAGTGTAATCAAGAAAGCCTTGTTTAGCCTGGCTGGGGAAACAAACACAGTCCTAAAACCTCGCTAAGCACTACACAAGCAAAAGCAAAGCCATTATGAGGCATACCTCAAAAGAGGAAATTATTAATTAATTGATTGATTGGTTGGTTAATTAACTAACTTATGGAGTGAATGCTGGCACAGCCGAGCTGAGTGGAAAGGGGACATTCTCAGACCCTCTGGCCTGCCAGGCTCTGCTTTGGTACTCTGTGAGGAGGGGCAGCAGTGAATGGGCACCCTCCATATCTGCAGCCTCAGAGTTCTGTGTGGCTCTGGCGTGTGGGTGAGGGGAGGTTACGCACGTCCTTTCCTGGCAGTTCCCTTGGACCACAGCATCCTCCTGATCCTACAGGTGGGGCGTGTGGAGAAGCAGCCCTTCCCTGCTCTCTCCACGGCTCTCCCCAGGGCAGCTTGGTTGGGCCATCATGGTACCTGTTCAAGAGGACTTTCCACTGGGCTCGAGTCTCAGCTCTCTGCTAACAGCTCTGAATACAGCCTTACTCTTACCAATTAATCAACCTGTCAAAGATTTATTTAAAGTAAGTGAACTACAAAAAGGCCTCTTAATATCCAGAACAAACAAGACAAGACCACACGCATGTTTGTTTTATTTTTCCAGTCTTTCCAGTCTCTTGTCTCATCTGTTGGGAAGTTCTTGGTTGGTGGCAGCTGCACTGATTGATGTAATAATGGGTCATGGGAACCTAGAATCTGAGCGAGAACACTGTGGTTTGAATATGGTTTATCTGCTCTGAGACTCATGCGGCGTCTCCACTGCCCTCTCTCTGGCCACAAGACAACTTGTACCACCTCAAGTTTCTGCCAGCAAAAAGACCACCACTAAGGTTCTTCAGTGTTGGACCAGAAACATGAACCAAATCTGCCAGAGGCCATAAGAATACACAGCAGATGAGAACTGATAAGATCAACCCACTAGATGAATGACTCTCTGATGCAGGAACCTCACCAAGTAAGGCTTATGAGGCCATAGGCTACAGTGAAAGCTGTTTGCTTCTGTCTGTGATTTTCTTGTGTGCTGCCATAAATCTTCCTTAAAACAATTGTGGGATTCTTCCCACAGCCCATTGGCGGTGTGTTTTCCACTTGTTGGGCACAATTATATCTGTGGAGAGATTCTTTTGGAAGGAATTTCAAGATGCAGTACTAAAGAAAGTTACCATCAGAATACATGTGCTCCTTTCCTACCGCTCAGATAGAAAAAGTTTAGTTCTTGCTGACATAGTGAATTTTTTTGCATATCCTGGGTGCAAAATTTCCAAACTATCTTTCCACCATCTTGGCACCTGTGGGGGCCTGCTGGGAACAGGACTTCTAATGTGATGCTATACCCTTCCAGGATTTAGACTAATAAAAAATTAATAAATGAAAATGGATTTGTGCTCTTATATTTTCTTCACACCTCCCCCGCCCCCAAAAAAAACTCTCTCTCCTTGTCTTTGCAGTTACATATATTGCTGACAGAAAGCTCTGGACAATACATGAGTTACATTTTGAGGGTCACATTACATTTCCTGAGTAAAAAATAAGAAGATTACGTGATAACACATGTGGAATCACATGGTTTTTCTTGGACTTGGAATGTTGCTCTGACTGGGCAGCCAGCAAGGCTGGAAGTGAGTAACCATGGCAACACTTGGCTCTCAGCCAAGCTCCCTGGTGAGCAGGTGAGAAACATGTAGTGGTTCAGTGCTGCCCACTTTCTCAAGAAACAGTGACCTTAAAAGCATCCCAGGACCTAAACATAAACAGTTCATTGGCTGAACCTTGAATCTTGTATCATAAAACTGAGATTAGAGTTTGTGCAGAAAGTCAGTTGCTGAGAGAATTTATGCAGGGAATTAATGTCTTTAATGTTACCAGCCAGAGTTTTGCAAGCAAAGAACTGGCACTAAAGTTGCTTCATGCCTGACCTTGGCTCAACAACCAGACACCTAGGAATCTGTCCTTGTGCATTCATTTGCAGGGGCAACTAGTCTACTTTGAATTTGCTCTGAGGTCTTAAATCAACTAATTGTGTAAAAAGCTGTCATTATAGCTGAGAATATTGTTATTTTCCTGTATCAGTCTGAGCTATGAAAATATCCTAGTATTATTTCTATTCATCAAAATTATATACCTTAAGATAAAATCATCTTGACCATCTACAGATATAATTGTGCCCAACAAGTGGAAAACACACTGCCAATGGGCTGTGGGAAGAATCCCACAGCTGTTTTAAGGAAGATTTATGGCAGCACACAAGAAAATCACAGACAGAAGCAGAGTAGCCTATGGCCTCATAAGCCTTGCTTGATGAGGTTCCTGCATCAGAGAGTCATTCATCTGATGGGTTGACCTTATGAATATCAGTTGTCATCTGCTGTTTATGCCTCTGGCACAAATCAACACTCTTTTCTTTGTAATTTACCCAGTCTGGACATTGTGTTGTGAGCCACAGAAGATACACTTTGTCTCTGGCCAGAGGACTGGATTCCCAGGATGCTGGACTGGTCTACACTGTCCTACAGTGCTTTGTTCCATACACGGGTCTCTCCACAGGAGCGTGTAGCAAAATTGAGAAAATAAAATGTTATCCTTTGTATACACTGTGTCCTACAAAAGGCTCCTGTCTTGAAGGCTTGGTCCCAGCAGGCAGATTCAATTATTTCTTATTCCTTTATTGAGAGGTTATTCGACCATGGAGACATGTTGTTCAGCTATTTGCTCCCTTACCCAGGGCTGGGTATATACCTCAATTGGTAGAGCATTTGTTTGTACACAAGAAACTCTGGGTTGGGGATTTAGCTCAGTGGTTGGGGATTTAGCTCACTAGGTTGGGGATTTAGCTCAGTGGTAGAGCGCTTGCCTAGCAAGCACAAGGTCCTGGGTTCGGTCCTCAGCTCCGGGAAAAAATAAATAAAAAATAAAAATTTAAAAAAAGAAATAAATAAATAAAAATTAGAAAGAAAGAAAGAGAGAAAGAAAGAGAGAAAAAAAGAAAGAAACTCTGTGTTCAGTTCCCAGCACTGTGCACACCTATAATCCCAGCATGGTTAAAAAGTCAAGAGGATCAGTAGTTCAAAGTCATCCTCAGCTACATAACTAGTTCAAGGCCAGCCCAGGATACATTAGACCCTGTCTCAAAAAAACCCACAAATGTGTATGTATATATCCCTTTAAAACACAAACATGAAAATCTTCAACAAAATATTATAAACTGAATGTAAGACAGATGACCTGAGTTTAATCTCCAGGTTCCACATGTTAGAAAGAGAAAACTGACTGTTACAAGTTGCTCTCTGATCTCCACATGCACACCATGACACATGCATGTGCACACACACATATACACACACCAATAATAAGTAAGCTGAAAATAAGATAAAGTAAGTATTAATAAAATTAATGAGATTTCTTTCAGGAATATAGCTTGACACAAAAATTTATCAATGTCATATAACACACTAGGAGAAAGGAAAGAAAAATCCACACAATCATCTCAGTTGATGCAGAAAAGGAGTCTGATAAAACACAATACCTTCAATGACTTTTATAAAGTGTCTAACGAAGGGTTAAAGCACTTGTGGTAGAGAACTTGCCTAACAGTGCAACCGCAATTCTTTGGGCTTGATCTCCAGCACATAAGAAAAGAGCACACAGCAAATGATGAAAGGATAATAAATTAATTCTGCAGTATGCATATAAGTTACCATTGATTATAGATCAAAGCAAATTTCCATGCTAGTGAGATAGACGGGGTTTTTCTCTAATCATGTTTTAGATTTCACTAGAGTCATAACACACTTTACATCTCCAATTTTAATAACTTGGGTCTTCTTTCTTTTTTTTTTT